GATGAAGAGGGGGGCGTCGAAGTGGGTGAGGGGGCCGAGGAGTGGGGCCAGGCCAAGACATTAATCAAGCCCCCAGACCAGCTGGACCTGACTGATGCGGTAAGTAACATTTGGGCTAGAGGCCAAAAGTGGGAGGAGGAAAAGATATAGGATAGCCATCTGCCTGAAATGGTATAGAGGAGGAGGGTTGGACTAGAAGACCTCCAAGGTCCCTGCTAATTCTGTGATTCTGAGGACACATTGGCAACATTTGGCGATTCACCCATAAGCTGAACTCAAGCAAGTTAAAATCCTTACACGCTTTGAATTACTAGGGACATAACAGTGGTGCCTTGGTACTCCGCTGCTTTGGAACGCATCCAATTTGATACTCAAAATTTGGCATTTTGAGACCAAAAATCCCTCCCGGTATTCATCGTTTGATACTCAACGCAAAACTTGGAACTTGTTGGTGTGAACTGCCTTGGGACTCGTTAAAGTTACTCTTTATGGGGGAAAACTTGGTTTGTTACTCATCGTTTTTGATATTTCATGTCGGAAAAAAAATCCATAATTCCTACAGAAACTCAGCCTTAAAAATAAATAAATAACCCACGCTACGTATTTCTTAAATGTATCTGTTTTTATGCCTCGGCCGGTTACGCACTGTGGGAATGTTGTGCGCGATGAATCTCTTTTCCACCGCAGGAACTGAAGGAGGAAATCACCCGTATCCTGACCGCCAACAACCCCCATGCTCCACAGAACATTGTCCGGTACAGTTTTAAAGTAAGCGCTTCTCCCTCCGCTGACACACACACACACACACTCTGCAATGTGTGAATCACTGATCCTCTAAAAGTAGGGCAAGCCTGCGTGATATCAATTTCATTACTTAATTTAATATAACTTAATTTAATAACTCAAATCAATACTGCACGAGTCAAAAAGAGGGCTGTGAAAATATCTACAGACCCCTCACATCCCAGACATAAACTGTTTCAACAATTTTGGTGGTCCGCAGAGAAATGTCACCCCCAGAACACACACACCCCCCGAAGCAATTAATCCAGGCTGCATGGGAACACAAGGCTGCACCACCCACATGGCCCACGGGACCCCTCCCTGCCCGAGACTCACTCCTTACCTGGCAAACTTGCCTGCTAAATTGCTATTTTTCCTTTTTTCCCCACCCCGACCATCATCTGTTCTGCTGCGCCAGGAGATTTAGGTTAGCTAGAAAGCAGTAAATCGTTGCATTTCCTGCTTTCTAGCTAGTCTTTAGATTTTTGGCTCTGCTTTTAAGCAGAGCCGAACCTTCCTTAGGACTGAAGCTTCTACTATTCGGTGCAGACTCAGGCAGCAAATTGCAGAAAGATAGATCTCTGAGTGAATCTGGGATTCTGTGAGTAACTCAGTCTGCCTGCCTGCTTTGCCTGATTTTGGGTCAAAGTTGCTCTTTTTTTAATAAAAATTCAACATTTACATAAATATTTACAATATTTACATACAACCCATGCCCAGCCAGTCACATGACCACCAAGCCACACCCACAAATTAGGCCACACCCACAGAACCAGAAATTTGAATCCCACCTCTGCCTTTCGGTGTTTGTGTATGAGAGAGAGGAAGAGGTTAGATCAGATCTCTCTCTCTCTCTCTCTCTCCCTCCCTCCCTCCCTCCCTCCCTCCCTCCCTCTCTCTCTCTCTCTCTCTCTCTCCCACCACCGTCAGCAATCAATCCAAAATCATTTTAGTGATCCCCGGGATTTAAAATTATGAGTTTGGTGGTCCCTGAGGTCCAAAAGGTTGGCGACCCCGGACTAGATGACCCACAAGGTCCCTTCCCACTCGTGAATCTAAAAGGGGATCCGACCTTTTTGCAAGTGCCTTCCCCTGTCTACTTAAGCTAAAACAGTCTGATGTCGGGAAGGTTAAACGAGAGCCGGAGTGAAAGCGTTCCTTCTCTCTTCCTTTCTCCAAAGGAAAGGGCCTACAAGCAAACCTCAGTGGTGGAGCAGATGGCAGTTCACTTCTCTCTTTGTGGGAACCTGATCTTCAAAGATTCGGATGAGGGTCGCAGGCAGGGCATGAGGGCCAGCTCATCCGGTAGGTATTTTGTCCCATAAAAGCCGGGCACAGCGACACACCTTTGGCATGTTGGAGAGGCCAGGTCTGAGTAGATATGCTGCGGACCAAACCTTTGGAGAGGGGAAGGAAATCCCAGTGGTGGGATTCAAATAGTTTTACTACCGGTTCTGTGGGCGTGGCTTGGTGGGCGTGGCAGGGGAAGGATATGTTGTAGTTCGCCGGGAGCAGGTACAGACGGCTGAGGTCTCGGAGAGCGAGGACTCAGATGAGGGGCTTGCGTGTGAGGCAGGGATGGGGCCAGGACCATCAGGGAGCAGAGTGCTGCCTTCGGAGATGGTGGAGGCTGGCAGCAATGATGAAGAGCACCCCGAGGAGCCTGTACCAAGTGTATGTGCACGCAGGGCTGCTCGAAGGAAAGGGCAGCTGCAGC